GGCCTCCCGAAGTGCTGGGGTTACAGGCGTGAGCCACCATGCCCCGCCCTCTCTTTCTTTTTTCTCACTCTGTCACCCAGGCTAGAGTGCAGTTCTGTAGTCACAGCTCACTACAGCCTCAACCTCCCAGGCTCAAATGTTCTTCCTGCCTGTGTCTCCCCATTAGCTGGGACTACAGGCCCACATCACCATGCCTGGCTAATTAAAAAAAAATTTTTTTTTGTAGAGATGGGTTTTCACTAGGTAGCCCAGGCTAGTCTCAAACTCCCGGCCTCAAATGATCTTCCAGCCTCAGCCTCCCAAAGTGCTGGGATTACAGGCATAAGCCACCATGCCTGGCTCAGTATGTGTATTTTGTATATTTGTATACAGGAAACATTTTATTATAAAAATTTCAAACATACAAAAAATACAGAGTTGTATAATAAACACCCATATACCCACTGTGTAGATTTAAAATTGCCATATTTGCTTTCTTTCATTATTTTTGGAAGCATTTTAAAGTAAACTACAGATGTCAAGATATTTTTACCCTGAAATTTTTCAACAGTCATCTCTGAAAAATAAGGACGCCTCTCTGCAGTCACAGTATCATTATCACACCTAAGAAAATTAAAAATTAACATCATCTAAAATCCAGACACATTCTAATTTCCCAATCTTCCCCAAAATGTCTTTTGTTGTTGTTGTTGTTGTTGATACTGGATCTCCCTGTCACACGGGCTGGAGCGCAGTCGTGTGATTTTGGTTCATTGCAACCCTAGACTCCTAGGCTCAAGTGATCCTCCCACCTCAGCTTCCCGACTAGCTGGGACCACAGGCACGTGCCACCGGCATGTCTAGCTAATTTTTGTATTTTTTGTGGAGACAGGGTTTCACCATGTTGCCCAGGCTGGTCTCTAACTACTGGGCTCAAGAGATCTGCCTGCTGGCCGGGCGCGGTGGCTCAAGCCTGTAATCCCAGCACTTTGGGAGGCCGAGGCGGGTAGATCACGAAGTCAAGAGATCGAGACCATCCTGGTCAACATGGTGAAACCCTGTCTCTACTAAAACTACAAAAAATTAGCTGGGCATGGTGGCGCATGCCTGTAATCCCAGCTACTCTGGAGGCTGAGGCAGGAGAATTGCCTGAACTTAGGAGGCGGAGGTTGCGGTGAGCCGAGATCGCGCCATTGCACTCCAGCCTGGGTAACAAGAGAGAAACTCTGTCTCAAAAAAAAAAAAAAAAAAAAAAAAGAGATCTGCCTGCCTTGGCCTCCCAAAGTGCTTGGATTTGCTGGGATTACAGGTGTGAGCCACTGCTCCCAACCCACAATGTTATGTATGTATGTATGTATTCATTTATTTGAGACAGAATTTTTCTCTGTCACTCAAGCTACAGTGCAGTGGTGCAATCTTGGCTCACTGCAACCTCTGCTTCCGAGGTTAAAGCAATTCTCATGCCTCAGCCTTCAGAGTAGCTGGGATTACAGGCAGGTGCCACCACATCTGGCTAATTTTTTTGTATTTTTAGGAGAAGCAGGGTTTCACTATATTGGCAAGGCTGGTTTTGAACTCCTGACCTCAAGTGATCCATCCACCTTGACCTCCAAAGTGTTGGGATTACAGGTGTGAGCCACCATGCATAGACCGCAAAATGTCTTTCATAACTTGCTTATTCAGACCAGGATTCAGTCAACAACCAGATTTCACATTCTACGGATTTTTCCCCCTTAAATCTCTATTAATCTAAAATAATCTCTGCAGCCCAGCCCCTTTTTTCTTGATATTGGCTTATTGCAGAAATTAAGCCAATTGCTGTGTAGATTCCAATGTCCTACCTTCTGGAATTGTCTGGTTATTTTCTAGTGATCTCTAGAATGTGTTTCTCTGGCTTCTTATTTCCTGTGCACTGAAATGTAGGTCTAAAGGCTTCATTTGTTTCCCATTAAGCATTTGTTTGTTTGTTTTGAGATGGAGTCTTGCTCTGTTGCCCAGGCTGGAGTGCAGTGGCACGATCTCGGCTAACTGCAATCCCCGCCTCCCAGGTTCAAGTAATCTCCCTGCCTAAGCCTCCCAAGTAGCTACAGGCACTCACCACCATGCCTGGCTAGTTTTTTGTATTTTAGTAGAGACAGGGTTTCACCATGTCGGCCAGGATGTCTCGATTTCCTAACCTCATGATCTGCCTGCCTCAGCCTCCCAAAGTGCTGAGATTACAGGCATGAGCCACCACACCCGGCCAAACATGTTTATCCATAATACTGGTGACAGAGGCACATAATACTGGTGACACGACAGGCCTAGGCGTCTTGTTCTTGCTGATGTTTCACTTGGTCACTGAGTCCAGGTGGTAACAGCTCAATGTTTCCATTATAAATTTATGTTGGATTTCTTTTCAAGTCTGAGAGCCCAGTGACACAATGTCCAAATTTTCGGTGGCCCTTTCCTGGAAAACAAAATGTCTAAACTGACTGGCCCAAGCTTCTTGTATTCAGAAGAGGTCAACTCTGATGACCATAGTCATTTACCGTTTTTTTAAGGAGATCCACCTGACCTAGGGTTTATTGTCCCTTTCAGGGTTATTTTAGGGACACGGTCATGTACTATGGCTTTTACACCAATTCCACCATCCAGCACGGGAACAGCGGGGCATCCTACAACATGCAGTTGGCCTACATCTTCACGATCGGAGCATGCTTGACCACCTGCTTCTTCAGTTTGCTGTTCAGGTATGGAAGCCTCTGCATTTCCTGATTCTGAGGGTCGTGTTAGACTTAGGCAAAAATGCAAGAAATTCAAAAATTACCCAGGTAACAGTTTCTCTGCAGTTTTGACTTTTTTTTCTTTTTTTGTTTTTTTTGAGACAGAGTCTTGCGCTGTCGCCCAGGCTGGAGTACCATGGCACAATCTTGGCTCACTGCAACCTCTGCCTCCTGGGTTCAAGCGATTCTCCCTCCTCAGCCTCCCAAGTAGTTGGGATTACAGGTGTGCGACACCTTGCCCAGCTAATTTTTGTAATTTTTGGTAGAGATGGGGTTTCACCATGTTGGCCAGGCTGGTCTCAAACTCCTGACCTCAGGTGATCCACCCGCCTCAGCCTCCCGAAGTGATGGGATTACAGGCGTGAGCCACTGCACCTGGACTGCAGTTTTGACTTTGTATTGCTGTCCTATCATTCCTTGTCCTGCACTATTAAATAAGAGCTTGGACAGAAGAAGAGAGGAGTTTCTGTGCTTTTTAAGAAATTGGTCAGCCTGATAATAAGGATGCAATTACCCTAGCAATGATATGGACAGAAGAACATAATAGATAACTATCAGAGACGAGGTACGGATGGAAAATACACATATGAAAAAATGTATAGGCTGGCCACGGTGGCTCATGCCTGTAATCTTAGCATTCTGGGAGGCCGGGGTGGGTATATCACTTGAGTCTAGGAGTTCAAGACTGGCCTGGGCAACATGGCAAAATCCCATCTGTACTAAATATACAAAAAATTAGCCTGGCTTGGTGGCACACGCCTGTAGTCACAGCTACTTGGAAGACTGAGGTGGGAGAATCACCTGAGCCCATTAGGTCAAGGCTGCAGTGAGCTGAGATTCTTAAGTTGCTGTTACTGAGTAGTGGCAAATTTCAGAACAGCAGCGTCTGTTTCACGCAGCATTTTTGTGTGTGTGCTGAGGGCTTCCTGGGCCTGAGATATCCATGACAATAACAGTGCCTTCATCAAGTGCTTGATGCTCTGAGCACTACATGGACTCTTTGGAAAGCTGAATCATCTGCCCCCACCTCCAGAGATGTCTACATCCTAATCGCACAAACTGGTGGATATGTAACTTCACGTAACCAAAGGGACTTTGAAGATGTGATTGAGGATTTTTAAGCGGGGAGATTATCCTGGATTATCCGGGTGGACCCAATGGATCACAAGGGTCTTTATAAGAGGGAGGCAGGAGGTCAGAGAGAAGCGGGGGGATGGGAAGACGCTACCCTGATGGCTTTGAAGATGGAGGTGACCACAAGCCAAGGAAAGAGGACAGCATCTAGAAGCTGGAAAAGACAAGGAAACGGATTCTCCCCTAGAGCCTCCAGAAGGAACACAGGCTGCCAACACCTTCATTTTACCTCTGTGAGACTCATTTTCTGATTAGCTGGGCGTGGTGGCACGTGCCTATAGTTCCAGCTACTTTGGAGGCTGTGGCGGGAGGATCGCTTGAGCCCAGGAGGTCAAGGCTGCAGTGAGCTGTGACTGCACCACTGCACTCCAGCCGGGGCCACACAGCCAGTAAGACCTCATCTCTAAACAAACAACAAGGAAAAACATTTTCTGACTTCTGATCTCTAAAAGGGTAAGAGAATAAATTTGTGTTGTTTTCAGCCGCTAAGTTGGTTGCCAATTGTTACAGCATCAACAGGGAACTGGGTGGATCAGCTGAGGTCAGGAGTTTGAGACTAACCTGGCCAACACGGTGAAACCCTGCCTGTATTAAAAATATAAAAATTAGCTGGGTGTGGCAATGGGCACCTATAATCCCAGTTACTGGGAGACTGAGGCAGGAGAATCGCTTGAACCTGGGAGGTGGAGGTTGCAGCAACCAAGATCATGCCACAGCACTCCAGCCTGGGAGATAAAAGCAAAACTCTGTCTCAAAAACAAACAAACAAAAAAAAGCACAACTCTGTGAGGTGGGTACTATTGTTATTCCTTTTCTACAAATGTGGAAACTGAAGCCCAGAATCAGAACAATTCACAGGACAAAGATCGCTCAGTGGGCACATCCAGAGCAGCACGCCAGGCCTGTGCGGTCCCAAAGCCAGTACTCATTTCACCGCTGTGCTGTGACCACACTGCTCCAGGCCAACAGCCTGGGGCTAAGTCTTCAGGCTGCCTTTCCCCATCAGTAATAGGGCTGTCTGTTGAAGCCCTGCATTCCCAATGCCTGCTGTAATCACCTTGGGATATTTTGGTTTCTGCCTTCTCTAGCATGGCCAGGTATTTCCGGAACAACTTCATTAACCCCCACATTCACTCCGGAGGGATCACTAAGCTGATCTTTTGCTGGGACTTCACCGTCACTCATGAAAAAGCTGTGAAGCTAAAACAGAAGAACCTTAGCACTGAGATAAGGGTAAGGCGAGCTCACTTTACTCATTTGCTGTCATCAGGTCTCCCCTTCTCCCGTATGCCGGTAACTTTTCTTAAAGTAATAATGAGCTACTGTTTTATTGCCCAAGAGACTGGCAAAAAAAAAAAAATAAATAAAATATTCATAATGCCAAGAGCTGGGTATAGTGTAGAGAAATGAGCATTTTCCCATGACAAAAAAAAAAAAAAAAATTTTTTTCTGACTTTTGATCTCTAGAAGAGTAAGAGAACAAATACAAAAATTAGCTGGGCGTAGCAATGGGTGCCTGTAATCCCAGTTACTTAGGAGACAGAAACAGGAGAATTACTTGAACCCGGGAGGTAGAGGTTACGGTGAGCCGAGATCACACCACTGCACTCCAGTATAATCTTATTGGAAGTCAGTTTAGCAGTTTATATCACTGTTAAACGTACTTTGCCCAGACTAGAGTGCAATGGCTCAATTATAGTTCACTGTAAGCCT